CTCCCTGGCTGTGAAGCCCATAGTCAAACATTAACACCTAGCCCTCCTCAAGTCCAATGACTTAGCTCCACAGACTGTTTGGAAATCAATTTAATCCTCTCAATAACAGAAAAGTATTAAGAAGGTGATCATTAACATCAGCCACACCACCAACTCTAGCACCAATAATACCTCCATTTTACAAAGAAAGAATCTGAAGATCAAGGAAGTCAGGAGACTTACCCCAAGTTACCCAGCAAGTAAATGATAAAGTTGATGCACATGTGATCTGAGCCAAACCTAAGGGCATGAAACTAGAGTTTCTTGTAAGAACGGAGGCTGGCTATAATCCTCCAGAAAATGTTTATACCTTGAAAAATATTTTATTCAACAGAACAATTATTTAAAGAAATGATTTGGTGTTCACAAATTAGAAATAAATTAGAATCTACTCTTGATAGATGCTTGCTTTTTCAACTCAAAGACAAAATTACATAGTTCTTTTTGGTCTGCTGGGTGTAGGTTGCATCAAGACGTGTCTGCAGAATTTGGTACGAATCTCACCTAGTTTGTAATCTGCCCAAACAGCAAGAGATTTTGTCTGGATCATTTACAGAACCCCTGTGCCTCACATAGTACCAACATGTATTTGTTGACTAAAATGCAAATAACTCTGGAAGAAAAAAAATTAAGTCAAAAATGTTCTGCAAAATCTTCATAAACTATTCTTTTCAACAGAGGAAGAAATTGAGACTCAGAGAGGGAAAGTGAATTGTTGAGGACTCCAGAGATGGTTAATAACAGAGATCTAGGAATCATCTGTTTTAACTGAAAATTGATTAATTTGGGGTTCATAACATATTCCAGAATGTTGAAGTGAAGCGACTTTTTTTCACATCTATTCAGTGTATACATAATTTGCTTAATACTGTTACAGTACAAAGTTAAGATCTGAATTATCCTTTTTAAAACATAAATATATTGTAAATGGGGCGGCAGATACTGTATACACCCCACCACTATGTCAGTGCGAAAGTCATGTGCTGATTGAAGAAGAATTGAGGGAAGGTTTCGTGGAGGAAACAGGTCAGGTGAAGAGGAGGGAATTCAAGAGAGAAGGAACAGCTTCGGCACAGCACAAGGAATAGATGCAGCACATGAGTGTTGTTTAAAATATCAGGTCGTGGAGAACATCGGGTGGTCAGGTATTTTCATTTAGCAAAATCATAGTGTTGCCAAATGACAACTGATATCATGAGCCAAAATAAAGGGCTTTTAGAAGACAGATACCATTTCTCAGTACATCCAAATATGCTACCTTACAGTACTACTGACATCACTCTCTCACTGCTTGTTTGCTATCAAATATGAGCAAGCTTAAAAAAAGAATGCCTGAAAACAGTCTCAAAAGTGTCTACATTTTGTAAATGCTTTATATCATTATTTTATACCTTTAAAGAAATGAAAACATCTTTGCTTTCCAAAGTGATTTGGCGTTTTAAGGTCAAAACTGAAATATTTCATTGCTCAGTGATGCTGCGTTAAAGAGCCCTGAACCCCTGTACTCAGAAAACCTGGACTTAAATTCAATGAGTTAATGACTGTAAGAAAGAAGCCTGGCTTAATATAAGCCCTCAACTGGCAGGTATTAATTTTACCAGTAGGGCTGTTGTTACTAGTTTGTAATGAGAGCACTGGAAACAAAGTATTTAGAACACTTTAGAAAATATTAATTACTATTCATAAATAAACCTATTATATAGAGGTTATATAGAGATACTTTTATAGTTGGTAAGATTATTATCCACATTGAGCAGACCTGAGGAGATCATTTTCTCAACCATTTCTGTTTTCATGTATTTCTGTGTATGTTTTTGCTTTCCCACCAAATTGTTAATTCTTTATTTCTGTCCTGTTTCTAGTTTTCTAGTTTCTAACTTTTTGGTAATTAATATTTTTTTCTGTAATTAGTAACAGTAACCAAGCTCAGTGTCTGACTGCACTGAGTTGTTGGATTCTGGTTTGGTTCCTATTTTCTGATTATAATTTCTATTTTCAAGACATATGCTTTAAAAAAAAAGTTTCCTTTAGGCTGAACTTGAGAGACATGATCTTGGCATAATTATTTCTCCAAAATAAAAAAAAAGTCAACCACATATTTTTAAGTTAAAACGGAGTTTTCCTGACCTTATCCAATACCCACAGTGGAGAGTGAGAGGCATTTTGATTTCAGTATTTTTGGCAACCAAGCGTCTAATGACTTACCCATATAAAAAATTACAATGGATTTTACAGTATTGATTTTTATTATTGTTGATGAATTATACTGTCAAAAAAACTTCAAAAACAATAACTTCAACATGTGATGCCTGTGTCACCGTACTTAAATTAAGAATTGGAATAACCAATGTACATAAATTATGGAGAAACCACAGGGAGAATTAGTGCAAAATTCCCATGATTTGTGAGGGGAAATTTTTAAATTAATCCATTGTTGAGTGAAAAAGACTATAAACATATAATTTGATTGTACCATCTTCCTTCCTGCTTGAGCTACTTAGTAGGTTACCTCAGTGTGCTGACAGTCTCTAAAGCTATGAGGCACAATAGCACAATGGCAAGATAACCCTAGGAAAAAAGCATGACTAAGAGTATATTAAGTTACATTAAGCCCTTATAAAGAGCTTAGTTTGTGCCAGGCACTATTCTAAATGTTTTATGTTGCACTGAAGAAGAAAGGGTAGTTAGAGAGAAGGCAACCCCCAGCAAGGCACAAGGAAGTGGGAAACACACACACACACACACACACACACAGAGAAATGGGGTTTCCAAGGAAAGAAATGAAGACTGAAAAAGTCCCAAAAAAGTATGTTGTAGTCAAGTGTGGTGGAGCACTTGACTAGCAAGACTATATAAAGTCCATTTGAAAAGAGTTCATTAATTTGTAACTTTACTATTTCTAAATTCATCACAGTGAAGTCGTTCAAAATATATAGAGTACATGCCAATATATGCCATCTCTGTCGTTTTCATTGTTATTTCCCTGGCTCTGAGTATAGTTTCTGCTCCCCTGAACTAAATTGCAGACTTGAATAATGCAACTTAAGCCTTACGCTCCTTTGGTATTCATTTATTAATTATTCAATCTTTTCAACATTCAGTTCTTGGGAGAGACAGTCTATTGGACAGGTTAAGATCTTGCACATGGGAGCCAGACTGCCTGTGATGAGATCCCAGCTTCGCCACAAGTGAAGTAAGTATCTCCCCTCTGTGTCTCAGTTTCCTCATATGGAAGATGAGGATAATTCATTAATAGCACCTATTGCATAAGATCGTGGTAAGGATGAAACGAGTTACTCCATGTAACCTGCTCAGGATATAGTAAGGCCTGATATAGTAAGGGCTATGGCTGGGCTAACAACCACGAAACCACTGTAGTACCTGCCCTCTAGGAGCCAGGAGCCTAGAGCCTACCAGGGAGACTTCCTCACAGCACTGTGTTCAGAACTCAGCTAGGACACTCAACACTATTCGGTCAATCAAAGCTCATTGGCCATATGATGATAAGTAACAGAATGTGTATATGTGTGTGTATATATATATATATATATATATATATATATATATGCTTTTAAACTGGAGAAAAAAATATCTCCTCTAAGATAAATTTTGAAGAGTAAGAAAAACAAGGTTCTTCTGATGGCAGGTATGGACATTTATTCAAAAGGCACTGTCGTCCTGTAGTAGACTGCAATGGTGAGGCCTGGCGCAAGCAGCCCTGCCCAGGCTGTCCTATAAGGAAGCACTCCTGTGGTCACGGGCCAACTCCTTAACTCCCATGGGTCTCGTTTCCTAATGTTTAAAAGGACTGAACTAGGTGATCTCTAAGGCTTTTACTCACATATGACATTACATTAATAAATTTGGTGAATTTGTCTGGAAGGGTGAAGGTCTCAAAATAGGTTGTTAAGAATCATAAAAAGCACCAGAATACAAGGATGCACAAAACTAAAGGGCTGAATTCATGCTCACAAGGTATGTACTCAGAGTTGAAGAAAAGGAATACCCTTAAGTTTGGGCTTGCAAAGATTTGGTTACTGGACTATCAAGGTGTTCCCCAGCATATATGTTACATATTTGTTTTCAAAATGGTCTGTAACAATGCATATCCTTAAACAACTAAGGAATGAAATAACAAATGTCTTGTTCCTTACAATACAAGTGTTCCTTATCATGTATCAAATATAGTTCTGGATACTCTAACTCAGTAATAGGAAAAATTAATGTCCAATTAAAAAGATAAAATGTATTTTACTAACATGCATTACAAAGTGTGGGGGGAAAAAGGCCTCTAAATTGAAAGGAAATAATGAGAAGAAAAGGAATTTCTAAATGCTCTTTAAAATGAGATGAGAGCTCCCATTATAAAGGGGTGGATGTGTTTTTTAATGTGATAAATTTTTTAAATGATCTCCAGTACTAATCCTATGTATGTTTTAAGTAACCAAGGGCTAAATGTTTCCTTGAAACAATGAGCAACTTCAAAGCTGGAAAGACAACATAGGAAAAGAGATATTTTTAAGTGGAACTGAAGGTTTCATAGACCACACCAGACACTAGGTTAGGGGATGGTTCATCAAACATTAGCCACAGAGACAGCACGCCAAGCAATGCTTTATTTATTTTTGAAACGTTAACAAAGGAAATGAGTCTGAATAGTTAAAATGTAGACTGATTAAAAGGCTTATACTATGAATGATGCTACTTCAGTTGTTGCAATGTGTAACAAGGAAGAGACCCTAAAATATTTTGAACAAACAGCTCTAAAAGAAAATAATAACAAAATAAATATTTTAGTAAAATAAGCATCTAACAAACATGCAAAAAGTCTTCTGGAGGTTAAAATTTTCATTCTCGACTACCGTATTAGATATAATAAAGCCAATAATAATATATCCATTTTAAGAATATACACACCACATCTATTTTTCTCGATCAGTATTCTATGAAGTTTACCATACCTGTGGATAGCTGTCAGTCCTTGGCAAAACTGATATATCATAGGTGGCAGCAAAATGGCTTTTAGCTTGTTGTATTTGGCCATAACGTTCTCTTTTTCTCCACTTGGCCCTTCGATTTTGAAACCAAACCTAATTTTTTTAAAAAGTAGAATTTTAGCTGAGGAACATTTGATAATGCAATGGTGATGTTAAAAGACACAGATCAGAAAGAACAAACCAGGTCAACAAAATCACTGAGAAAGAAATTTATGTCACAAAAGTATACACAAATTTTACTTTCTATTTCACCCTGCTAAGTGGTATGTCCATAAGGCAATATAAATTAATAGAAAGGGAGGAAATACTTAAAAAAATTATTTAATTTGTCTCAGGCTCTTTTTTTTCATTTTGGAAAATAAAAAGGAGTTAGATTATATGATTTTGAAGACTCCTTATGTCTCCAAATTGTCATAGATAATCCTCCTCTCAGAGAATGCTGCAAATCTGGAAGACATTCATGACTTTTTAGTTTGGGGTTATGCACATAACATTAGCCCAGCCAAACTATAACCAAATTAATATTTGGGTCTGTCAAAACAATTATCTTTAGAACATGTCACAAAGTGAAGACTGTGCTGGGTTGTACCCATACTTAGATAATCTTAGAAAAATTTAAACACAAAGATTACATCCAAAACACATGGCACTGGCAGAAATATCATGATTATTTAGAAACAGAAAATATTAATATTACATATTATATTGAGCATGATAAAGACTATGGGTAAAATGGAACCATCTGAAATTGAACTCTGATTTTAAACTATACAAATGCACTTATTATATAAATTACACCACTTATAATTCTTATCTTCCCTTATAGAAAATGCTCAGAAATCTCCAAATCATTTCTCCAATATAAGAGACTTATAGGTAATATAAATAATAATATAAATGGGAAGATAGAACCAAGTTCAAGAAAGCCTATGAGTTACTACAGCCTCTACAGAATCACAAAGCTCTCCTCCAAATTTCTCTATTTCTATATTAATAATATTTGTCATAACAACCATCTTCCTCAGAGGGTTAAATAATCACTAATTCACAATTGGAGCTCTCCGGAATCTTCACTTTAGCATTTTAATGAGTTAAAGGGAGACACAAAAAGTTATATTCGGTATGTGTCATTTGATATTTTTGAGTAGACATTTCACAAGCAGCTGTCAGGAAGCTCTTCAGTCTTTACAGAACTATGTTCAGAATACAAAATGCTTACAAAAGAAGCTGGAAATCACATATCAAATGCAGATTGTTAAAACTGTTAAAATTTACTTGAAATTTTACTCTTTTTCATAATTAGCTGTAATCTTCTTTATCTTTACCATCACACTGACGGATACATATTAAGCCTCAGTTCAATGTGCAAGCATGTACTGCAAATTTAAGGTGGCACTTTAAAGAGTTTCCAGCAATTAAAATAAGGCAATGAGAGCTACCTATTCAGTATGGTTTCTTAGAACACTGTTGGTAAAGGTGTATCATGCACAATGCCCAGAGCCCAAAATAACATCAACAACAAAACAAAACATATTTTTTTCCTGTCTTCAAAGGCACTAGGAGCATAGTAAGGAAATTTAGTAATGAGGTTTTTTTTTTCATTGAGAAAAAAAAGGTCTTTACAATCTCCTTAAAATAGGTATGAATTACCACTCTGATATGAAAAGCCGGAAAGAGAAAACGTGAGTAAATTAGGTTTGGGTTGGCTCTCTGTGCATGTTTTTAGACAAAAATTAATCAGGAGTTGATGAAATGTGAAGGGGAAAACAACCATTGTGCACAGCTGATCACTCTATATGTAAACATATTTTTCAATGGTTACAAGTATAATTAATTCTAATATATGAACACAAGGCAAAAAAATAAAACAGCACATACACGTGGGACTGATATTAACACTTGACTATTCTAAAATTCTTCATTAGCATCAACTTTCTGTACATTTACTTCCTGAACTAAAATAAGTAACTATTCACCTCCACAAGCTGAAGAAAAATCCTGCTGCTTGGTATTCCCGCACGACCAAATGTTGCCTTTAATGATGAAACGGCCTTACAATGGCTTAATCTTCAGAAGAAATACTATTACTCTCAGGACAAAATTCTTCACTATCTTATTTATTTCTCTATTCTTATACTGTATGGGAATTGCAAACTTCAATATTATCCTATTTAGCGTGGTAAAAATGCACAAAGAAACATGCTATTCCCTGAAATTGTTACTTGAGAACTAATAAAAGGTAGTTTAAGAATACCAACTCTAGTAAAAATAAAATATGCCTAAGAGATAGAATTTTACCTAATATAATTTTTTCAAATGATTCTAAAAGTTTAGTATATTGTGCAATCCAATATGATAATTTGAATACAACTTATAAATATAATTGAGTATTTATTTTAAAATTACTTCAAGATCATTCTTTTTATTGCCTCTGCAAAAAAGATATAAGCTATCTACATTTAAAAGTTAAAATGGGATGGCAAGGCAACTATTAAAGCTGGGAAAATTATAGGGGAGCTATATGATCTTTCTTTATGCATAGTAAAAATAAGTTATGGTATTTATAACAATTGCGAATTTGTGAAATTGTTCCATTTTTTCTTTGTTTTATTATAACCCCAACCTCAATAAAATTACAGACCTATGGGCCATTACACATATAACTTACCAATACCTGGTATATAACCTAAAAAGAACCTTAACGTCTGATAAAATAGGACAAAACAAAACAAAATAAATGTATTAGTAAATAGATAGCTATGATTCTGTGTTTTTGCCCTTTAAACATTAGAGATATTTATGACATTCTGTTGTTTTAAATAATCGTTAATTTGTATGCCTATGTAATAAGTCAAGTGTTCTTTTATGTTTTTGTGTGAGTGATTAAATTCTTTGCAAGGAAAAAGAAATTTTAGTAGACCTACATGCATATCATACATTGTTCTATATCTTTAGCTGGAGAATCAGTTTCTTCTTTTGTGGCAAAATGCAACCATTGAATTATTCTAACAGTATCTCCCCCTCCCAACACACACCCAAGGGCTTCATTTGGCTCCTACCTGCACCCTGGCCTCCGTGAGCTCTGTCCTCAGAGCAAGTTGCTCTCTGACGTATACGTCCGGGTAATGGGTTTTCTGAAAGACCTTCTCCAACTCCTCCAGCTGCAGGCTGGTGAAGGTGGTTCGGTGCCTCCGCTTCTTACTGCTGGATACGTTGCTGTCACATTTATCCCCAAGTTCATCCAGTTCTCCCTTTTCTGGCATCCCTTTCACGGGAGACATCCGGAGACTATTACAGTTGTCCATAGCTCTATTTAGTTCTGTGTGAAGAGGCTGTCCTTCTACTTTAGTGATCCCATAGTTCACTGTACCCAGAGAGGGGAAAACAACAGTTCTCAGGATTGTGAAACATTTCAATGAAGAAATGAAGTCAAAGTAATTTACAGCCTCAAGAAAGCAGTCTGTTAATGATTTACTGTGCCAGTATGAATTCAAGCATCACATTGTGTACTACTATTAATCCACTTTGGGCAGGTTTAGGGCCATTTAAAAATGTGTTACATGGAACTCATATAATTTGCCAGATTTTACAGTTCTATTTTACAGGGCTAATGTAATGCTTATGCACATAATTTATAGTCAAATAAGGTGATCAAATTAAAAGATGCTCTAGATTTTTAAAAAATTGAGCATAATGTTTGAAAAGTGAACCAAATTTAATGTAAGTGATATATGTATTTATTCACAGCAGACAAAATCGAGCTACTTACGTGGCTCAAGAAAGACATTTCAATTTTAAAAACTGAAAAATTTCAATTTTAAAAATAATACCTGTAAACCCAAACCCAAACTCTTCCCAAAAGTAATCTTCCTGCTCCACTCAAAACGTATGGACTACAGATTTAGATATGGTTCTGTTTCTAGTATATTTTGAACATTTTGACTGTATATTCATGTCTGCTTTTTTAATTCTTTTTCAAAAAGCGACCTACTAAATTAATGACTTTCATATCAGTTTCTGGAAGTGCTTCTTATAGAACAGAATAAGATTTAAGACTTCTTTAGTGTAATAACTCACTTGCAGTTCTTTCTAAATAGGTCGTATTTACGTTTAACTCATGAAATACGTTTTAAGACAGAAAGTTTTATTTTTCCCTAAATCAGAGACATTAAAACATCTATTAAAAGATTACAAAAGATGCCATCTTCCATTCTGTTTAGGGGTGTTTAACTTTCAGTGATTTCCTCCAGATTTGATTGCATGCTTGCAATATGATATAAAACAAAAATCTATCCTGTGGCCACACACACACACACACACACACACAATGGATGCACATAATGAAACTGGAAAGTTTTTGAAAAAGTGAACCCAGCCAGAACAGTAATTTCCAATGTACTGCCATACTTTATTCGTTTGTATCTTTTTAAAAATTCTCTCATAACGTATTTTAGCAACTGTTCTAATCATTATACCAATGTTTTGAACTTTAAGACCTAAAATAACTTAAATGTTTAATATCCTTTATGCAAAAGATGGGATGTAAAACTAGATACAACGAAGAGCCATGACTGATTAACAATAAGGTTTTGTGTTCGGCAGAGTTAAATGGGGAACTTCGGTAATTAGGGATGGGGGAGGGGAAGCAGCCGTGAGGGTAAGGGCATCTCAGGAGAAAGGAGCTTTCCTAAATTTAGCGAACTGCTGCCTACATTCATCTTACTTAATACTTTCCTATTAAAATTCATCCTAAAAATGTGATTAAAAAGTTGTTAAGGTATCAAAAATCACCTATTTCTCTTCTTATTTTGGATTCCCGACAATTTAAAATAGGATGTAGTCCTATCCAACAGTTAACACAGGACATCAGAGAATCGTTTTTTTTAATCCTGTCCATTCGAATAACTTTACGTATACATATAAGAATTCCAAAAATTAAGATACTGCAGTCTGAAATACAAACAGAAGGCCAAAAATTTAACATATTAAAAATAAAAATTAATTGCGTCTGTCTTTCTAAATAAATGACTGAAACGATTTAACTGATTTTCTCTGTCGTTCCCAGGTTCAACCTTGCAAGTCACAAGGAATCTGCAACGCTGAATAAGTAAAATACACGAGATTTTTTTTTTTAAACTTACTGTGCACAAAGTATTTAGAAAATGAGCTCCTATGAGCCAATACCTTGCCAGATTTTGACCCTCCATTAAAACAGGGGGCGGGAGGCTTGTTGTAAATATTTCACACTTAATTCGTTTGTTATTTTAAAGCAACCCGCTCCTTACAGCTTAACTGTGGAATATATACAATGATAAGGAAAAGTCCTCTTGCAATTGTAAACTTGCTTTAGCTGTCGCGATCTAAAAAAAATAGGTTTGTATTGGGTTACAAGATAGAAAAGATAGATGGTTTGTTTTGATAACATTTTGACTTTGAGATACTTGGCCGTTCAAAGTTGAAGATTTTACCCAGAAGCATTCCGAGAGAGGGTTCTTAGGTGACTTTTAATGTAGAGTCAGAAAAAGACACAATACAGAGTTCGGGAGTGAGTGCTTATATTGGGGATTCTTTACCCGAAGCTATTGGAAGTGATTTGGTGTTAGGAAAAATTTATGTGTGCTGTATTGCAAACCCAAAGAATCCGCATCACAACTTCACACAAGCTAATCTAGCAATCTTCCAGCTTCACAAAGAAAAATACCGCTAAGTCTTGAAAAACTTGTTTTGAAACGGTTTTTCACCTAAAGGAACTCAAAGTTTTCTGATTCGTGACGACAGTGACGTCCTCTAACGAGCTATGATCGATTTCAGCTCTTTCTGCGGGGGCAGCGCGTCGGGCTCACAGAGGAAGAGCGCTGTCTTGACTCAATTACACTCTATTTACCGTCCTATCAGTTTACGCCTGGGTCCTAGATACAGGGAGTCCGGGACCCATAAGGGACAGCACTCGACAGCTAAAAGAGAGCCGCGCGGAGGCAATCCGGTGCCTAATCCTTCCCCTGCCCCTCAAAGTCGGCTGCAGCCAACACCGCTCCTTAAAACGCTCACTCTTCCATTGCCTTCCTCCGCCCTCCGGGCTCTCTCGCTCCCCCTTTCCTTCCTTCCATCCTCCCCGCCTGCCTGTCCGGACACATCCCCGCATTTAGGGTTTCCGGAAGGGTGGCGGAGGCTCGGGCAGGCGACTCACCGCTGCTCTCCTGACAGGGCGAGGTTCTCTCCAGGCGCACGTGATGCTCGGCGCGGGGCAGGGGCCCGAAGGCCTGCACGCATTTGCCCGCCGACGCTTTGCTGTAAAAGGACTCATTGTCCAGCGTCTCCATAACGTGCTCCAATGCGCCTCCTGCGCCCATGTAGAAGTCACTGTTTTTACTCGGCGGGCTCTTGAGGGCAAACTTCTCGCTCAGAAACTCCATAATCCTGGAAGGCTGTCGCGGAGCTCCTGGGGCGCGGAGGCTGGAGAGCGCTGGGGGAGGGAGCAAGTGGGCGGGAGAAGGGAGGGCCGAGGAGGGAAGGGGAAGCTGCCCGGCTCCGAGCCCTTTAATACGTCCCGGCTGGAAAGGGGGCACCCGAAGTTGCTTTTATATCTTGAAACTCAGCCGGGCTCTTCGGGCAACCTCCCAGTTCTAATGAATATGAAAATAGGCAGGCGACTAACTCCACCCCGGGTCCCCCTCCGCCCCCACCCCACCCCCACCTTCCCCCACTTACCCGCGCAGGGCGCGTCCAGGCCTAGGTTAGACAGCTCCATTTCAGACAAATGCCAGGAGGGACGAGGCCCCGACACCCAGAAACATTGTCGCCGCGACAGTGGATTGGCATTTCGGAAGAGCTTGGTGAGATCGCAAAGCAGTTAACCCTCCACTCCCTGCTCTCTGCGCCCTTCCGGGCCGCCCGCCCGACACCCGGTTCCCACCCCGCCCCCACGCCGGCCACTCACTACCCGAAAGATTTAGAGGCGTCTTAAGAACTTGAAAGGAAGTATTACTCTTAACGGGCTTTTATTTCATCCGTAAATCGTTTATGTGGAAGATCCACATTAACGCGAATCCCAAGAAGCCAGATACACTGGCAGCTCTTTACTGGGTCGGCCGCGGTGGAGGGGCGGCTTCGGCTTCTAACCCGGAGGAGCTCGGCGTCCCGGCGCTCTCGGCGCTTACGAGCCCATGGTCTTTCCTTCCTTTCTGGAAGGCCGCGGCGTGTGGACGTGCTTGCGATGGGTGGGAGAGGGAAGCTGAGCAAGAGGCATTGAAAGCATTATGACAATACCAATCTATTTCCTCACTCTCCTCCCAACGCTCCCTTTGGTCCCCGATTTTATCATTCGATCCAGATTATTTTAGGAAAACCCGTTAGGAAAAGTGTCTCCTTCAAAGGAACCTTAGTATAGGCCAGAGGGACGCTCGTTACACAAAAGGCTTATGAAAGAAGAAGGCCTTCCGCGTGGTTTTTAAAACAATTATTTTTAAAGAGTGGCGGTGGAGTTACTGTGAACAGCGCGTGCCGGGAGCGAGGGGCGCGCGCGGAGCTGGGCGCACTAGCGAGGCGGCGTTTCGGGAGCCGGCGCGGCCTGGGCCTGGGTTTGGGCCCGGGGAAAGGCGGGAGACTGGGGGGTGTGCTAGGGTGGGCGGGGAGCTGGCCGCTCTCTGAGGGCAGGGCAGCACTGCGGGGTTGACATCCCCTATGAGTGGCTTTGGGTTTGACTCTGGCTTCCGAGAAGCCCGCAGCGTCTAAGGGAAATATGTTCAGTGCCTTGGGCACGAAGAGGCAGCCATTTGCAACAGGCTCTTGAGCTGGCAAACTTGGTGAAAAGCTCCCACAAGTTGGGGACTATGGACGGCACCTTCCCAGGGAGGACTCCGTTCGAGGGTCCTGACAGCCTTTCCGGCACAGGATTTCGCAGCGCCCGTCGCGCTTCCCTAAGCCAGCCTGGCAACGACGCCACGGCCCTGGGCACGAGAGCGGTGAGGCCAGGCCCAACTCTGGCAGGCATCCTGACGGGCTTGGGAATTTCCAGCGTCTTGCGGCCTTGGCTGGCCCAAGACTCCCTGGTAGACCTTCTTCGAGGCCAGGCCAGGCCCGCAGCCTCGGAGGAACCACCGTGGAGGTCTGCGCACCTATGCGGGGCTCCTTAGTTAGCACTGCCTTAGAAGCGCGCCGGCCCGGAACGCCCAGATCCCGGCGAACTGAGCCCAAGCGGGCGGCCGCGGGCAGCCGCCACTGTGCGCCCGGGACCTTTCTCCCGAGAGGGCGGGGGGCACAAGCTCATTTCACGTGGCGCCGCGCTCAGCGTGGCCTTGAGTGCGCAGTCGGGTTCCTGAAAGTTGACACTATTTCTGGAATTACGTAGCTCTTGCTGTCTTCTTACTCCTATCTCCCGAGCCCCGCAGCCTGCACCAGCAGCGAACTGTTAAATCTCAAGGGGTCAAAAGGAAAACTTTCCCGGGACTGCGCTCCAGGAGATAGCCAGACTGTATCGAGACGCGGGAACAACGCTGGCATCATAGGTTGGAGGGAAAAAAACAAAAAACAGAACAAAACGAAAAACAAGGAAACGCTGGCGGGAGGGTACCCTAGGCGTCCGGACCACGCTTAAGGCAGAGTAGCAGCCATGTGCTTCCTGGGCACTTTATAGCTAGTTCCTTCGCTGCCCCTGCGGGAGAGTTGGGTGTCCAGTCAGCCACTCATTTCTGCGTGGGGTGATGATTTTTTATTCTCCCCTAGCCCCTTCTGTACCTAACCTTCAGAGATATTATGCAAGTCTGACCTTCTGTAATAAACATGGAGAAGATAAAAGAAATGGTCATTTAATAGGTTTTTTAAATTTTCACAGCAGCAAGAATAACGCCTTGCTGACTTGAGGAAATACAGAAACAACTCCTAGCTATGAACTTAGTTACGTCGTAGAGCTCTGTCAGCTTGTTTATAAATATGCGTCTTGAGAACCCTAAATTTCCTGAAAAACATTCGATGTATTTTAAATGAAAGACATATGATGCAAGCTCTGGGGTACTTGTATACCAATAAAGATCCAGCTCATAGAGGAAAAACTACAGGGGAGCCAAGGAAGATAGCTGCTTAGTAAACTGTTCCTATCCCACACCTCAAACCCGTTTTTGATGGTAGTGGTTGGAGGGATGAGTGCAAGGTGTCACCCACCACACTTAATATCCCTGGAGCCTCCTGCAAACACAAATCTATTACATGGAATCCTGTGTGTTTGGGGACATGTAACCACTTGTGCCCATAACAGAAGGAACAGCTAATGGCAAACTCCCATAACGAATGCTTAATCTGCAGTTTTTGGCAAGAAGTTGGGTCTCTGGCTGCCAAAAGCTGCATTAAATAGATTTTGAGAAGTTGAGATGGAGTTTATGGTAATGACACAGTTTTAGCCATTGGAGCATTAATAATACACTTAAAATAATACTAATTAAAATAATAATTAAATGCTTTCTGTGGAAGTCTCAAAAAGAGAGACAAAATCAGATTGGAGGCTATCTCTCCTTCTGTGAGATCTACCTGGGCTTTTTCTGCCTGATGCTTTGAGATAACCTTCTTGGAAATTGACCGTAGCACTTTGATAAATACTTTCTACCCAAACCTGGCATAACTCTTCCCTTCTCAGTAGGCTTTTAAAACCACCACTAATCTTCATTCCTTATCCTTACCCTCTCCAATTCCAACCAGTCAGCTAGGCGAGGGCCCCAGGGGTTAGTGTTCCGAGGAACCATCAGCTGGCAAAGAAGACCCAGTTTATTAAGTCAGGTTCTAATTGGGATTTTATCTCAGCGGGCGCAGTCCATCACCCCCAGGCTACCATTCCCTTCTTTGCTCCACCTTTCTATTTTGTCTTTGTGGGTATTGTTGATTTCTTACTACACTCTGAGCCTGGGTTCTAAACTCAGGATTCTTTTCCCCATCTTTCACATAGGGGGGTAAGGAAGGGACTGAGATGGGGAACCATCAGCTTCTTTTAAAGCCTAACAAAATTTAAGACATCTTAGGATCCCACCACCTTCAGGTCTCTGGGTGCTGTGAAGACACTGATGTTTCTTCACATTGCTTTGATGGGGGTGGGATAAGGTGCAACGCTTGTTGGGGGGGGCATCAGTAAGTAATGTACCCTAGTCCAGAAAGCAAAAGGATGAGGGTTAAGAGACCTACTGTAGATTCAAGTCTCAACCTCTTTGAAAACAGGGGTTTCTCCTCATTCCTCTGGCACCGGCTATTTTGTGAAGTGACGCCATTGCTCCAATTTGAAGTTACATCCAACATTCCTGCAATCAGTTTGTGGTTGTTGTTGTTGTTGTTGTTGTTAGGTGCCAACTCCCCAAACACAGCAATTTGGAGTGGGCTTTTTTTTTTTTTAATTTTCTTTATTTAGCTCCCAATAGAGCCTAGAATTAAAGTAATTGAGTACATTGAAACTAGTTGAGAAGCCCACTGAAATGACTATTTGACTCCTCCAGACAGGGACACACACATGTAAATTCAGATAAGTTCAGATAAGAGATTGGCTGTCTGTCAGCTTGACTTATTTTATATTAAAAATAAATTCTCACGGTCTAAAAGCTGCATTTAATGTTCCCCTCCCCCATGAGAATATATTCCGGGAAATGAAAAATATTTTGAGTACATACATCAAAGCAGCCGTTGAAACGATGTGTAGACCGCTCTAGTTCCTTTCCTTCTCAGCTTATTGAAAGAAACGTCACACTTATAGAGCAATAGTGGGAATGTCAAGATAGTATTGCAAGAACTTTAGTCTTAGCACTTTCTTTTTGTGGTGAGAGTTTGAGACATATTACTAAGTACAGCAAGGAAAAATGCATGCTAAATCAGATGAACTCTGCCAAATGTAGAAAAGCAAGGGTCTGGAGAGGGGAGGGAAAGCTGGGTGGAGGGAAAACTCTCAAGAAAAAGTACTCAAATAATTGAATGTCATGTATGATGGCAAGAAGCCAGGTGGCCTCGTGTTTGTGTGTGCTCTGCTGCTGTTTCCCTCCCCGGGCTTCATCTTCAGCCTTCCCACAGCTCTAAAGACATAACAGATACAGAAATACATTTTGCATCGAAGCAGTTCAAGAGGTGTCCCTCAAAATACAAATATATACACATGCGAAGAACTATTTAAGCTTTTCTTTTAAATACATGTCCCAATCCATCATCATCTCCTCCAGAAAACACACCTACAGACTAATGTATAACTCTGTCATGTTTTTGAAGCTTCTGTATTTCAATTAAAAAAAAAACAATTACTTGAATTTTAATCAATCCTGTCAGTCTGTCAAGTGTCCTATTACAAAGCTCTCAACTATAATAGATTAAATTTACCTGAAATTTCAATAGTAATATTAAGTATTTTGGTATTTCAGAAACTCACATGATTTTTCAAAGAGCTATGCTTGTTTTTGAATTTCAACTTGTTTCAATTATAGTTTTTCACATAGTTGCCCTTTTTTCTTAAATAGAGAAATGGATTTGACTTCTGTTCTCCTAAAGGATCTAAATTAAATATAAAAATCTGGGTATTTTCCCAAATGAGGAAATATTTTGACTTATCTAACATATGTGATGGTTTACATTTACTAGGACATTGTTTACATTTGC